TCTCTGCCTGCCTTGCAGAGACACGGTGTGGTTTTGCTACCTGTCACTGCCGAGTGGGCGGCTGCCTCCAGCTGTGCCTGGGTCAGAAGCTGCTGCCCTGGGGACACTGGAACGTACTGGATCTGGAGGGAGAGCAAGGGCATGCGGAGGGTGAGGCTCTGCCCGGCGCTCGCTTCCTGCCATCCCTGTAATCCTGCCCTCCCCCCAGCCCCGGGCAGGGAACTGGGAGGCTCCTCTCTGGGCCTGGTTCTGCAATGGGCTCTCCGAGCACAGCCATCTCCCCAGAGATGGTGGCCCCCCCTCCCGAGGCCCTTTGCCCCCCCCCTTACCTGGGGCTCCTGCACCAACTCTCCGCTCTCCTCGTACTGGATGTGGGTGATCTGCCCATCCTGTACCTGCAGAAGCAAGAAGGTCCATGAGAGGCCGGAGGTGGGGAGGGGAAACTCAAGCCTGTGCAGGTGGAGATGATGCAGGGTCTCACCTGGAGGTGGTGGCCCTCGGGCAGGACCACATATTCATGCGGTAGGAGAGGCTGGACACCGTCCTGGGTGATGATATACTGCACCTGTGGGCGGAGGGTGGGGGACAAAGACTGGCGTCTGGGTTCCGGCCAGGCTGTACCTCTTTGTCCCGTCCCCCCCCCGGTACGCGACCCACCTGTTTCCCAGCCCCCCACCCACCCCACTGGTTTTCCGCCGTCACCAGGTGCTGCACCATTTGCCCATCTGCTGTTGTCATGATCTCCTGGATGTAGGTGGCCTCATCCTGCACAAGGAGAAAAAACATGTAGGCTTCTGGGTCTCAGCACCACGGCTGCCTCCTTCCCCCTCTCTCGGCCCCAAAACGGGACTCCCAAGATTGAGACCAAAGGGGTCGAGGTCCAGGGAGCGTTCACGGTGCAAACAGTTTGTTCCACCTGATCTGCTTCTCTTACCCTCCGGTCATGCTAGGTGGCCCTGGGTTCTAGTTGGGGGGAAGATAAGAAGTAAACCTTCTCTTTAAATCCCCTGTGTGCAATTTTACAGATCCTGATTAGGCTCTTGTGTGCAGAGGAATCTGGAACGTGAGACACGTGGCTCACCGGGTAGCCAGCCCTGAGCTTCAGGACCGTCCTGTGTGAAGCCAGGATGCAGGACCGGCCCTGTGGGATCAGGGAGCATGGCTGCCTCTTACCTGGCTGGGGACGCTTTGCTCCTGGGTCATGATGAGGTGCTCCTGGGTCATGGCTGGCTGGAGCCTCTCGGGGGCCAAAATGGCCTGGCCAGCTTGCAGGGCGGCTGTTGCGGGCAGGGGAGAGAGAGAGAGAGAGGCCAAGAGAGACTCTCAGTCGTGCTGGCAAGGAGCCCAGCACCTCCCCCCTCTGCCCCCCCAATGCAAAGAGTTGGGAGTGGGTAAAGGGCAGGAGCTGTCTTGAGCTCTGCCCCACTGCCAAGGGAGGAGGAGGAGAAAGAGAAATGGCTGGTGCTGCCTATGCCCACGTATGACTGGGGAGAAGGAGGGAGGGGGGAGGGAGGGGGGGGAGGAGAAAGCCCCCCGCCTGCGCTGCCGCTCACTCTGCAGGGTGGCCAAAGCACAATGTTCTGCTTATGATCCATGGAAAATATGTGTCATATGAAAACACAGCAATGTGTAGGAGAGATATACTGTATATTACAGGAAATGGATACCACAAATTAAAGCAACTTTCCGTTTGGTATTTTAAGTAGGAACTTTAAAAAAGTAGAAGTACTTAATGGTAAGAGCTTAGAATGGACACTTTGGCAGATAGGTTTTTATATCTATAAATGAGCAAATTTTCACTTATCATAGAGAAACATTTTTAAAAAATGATAAAGCAGGAAAACTGCATACATGTGCTCTGTGCATGCATGCATTTATAACTGTCAACTATCATAAAGAAACAGAATTCCCCCCCTCCCCACAGGAGTCTGGGTCCTTTCCCCAGGAGGGAGCTCCACTCTGAGAAAGGGAGACCCTCCCTCTCAGCCCAGCCCAGCCCGACCCAGCCCCCTACGGCGTCCCTTCTCCCCACCTCTGTCCACAGACATGGCACGCAAAGGGCTTCTCGTTGGTGTGGGTCAGCACGTGCCGGCGCAGGTCCTTCTTGTTCTTGGAAGCGAAGCTGCAGTGCTGGCACTTGTGGGGCCGGAGGCTGGCATGTTGCTCCCGGTGGCTCTGGAGCAGCAGGAGAGGAGAAGGGAGCCCGCTCAGCAGAAATGCCCCCCCATCCCTTCCCTGGGTTGGGAGAGGTTTCCCCGTCTGTGCCCCTCCCCCAGAAATCCCAGCCAAGCTCATGGCAGT